CTCAAATTATGGACATTTAATACTCAATAATTTTTTTTTTAAGATTTTATTTATTTATTTGACAGAGAGAGACACAGTGAGAGAGGGAACACAAGCAGGGGGAGTGGAAGAGGGAGAAGCAGGCTTCCCGCCGAGCAGGGAGCCCGATTGGGATCATGACCTGAGCCGAAGGCAGACGCTTAACCACTGAGCCACCCAGGCGCCCCTCAATAATTGTTTTAAAGTTTTTTTTTTTTACTAATGAGAAGTAAACCAAATCACTTGTAGTTTCACTTTCTGAAACTTACTATTAATGTTTTAATGTATTTTTTCCAAATTTTAAGGCATGCCAATTAGACTTAAAAACAAAATCATTACTTTTTATTTATATTATTATGAGCATTTTTTCATGTCATTAAAATAATGCTAGAAGTCATGGATTAGGGAAATGGTTCAGAAATTTGTTGGCATGAGTTTAATGCTGCAGCAAACATTCTTACATGTAAATTGCCATGTGACTCTGCTGTTAAGTAGACATTCTTAAGTGAGTTTCATGTTCAGTCAACCCTTCAAATGTTGTTCTTCACAGCTGCTCTTCCATTAATCGGGCAGGCTTTAGAAAGTGGCCATGTTCTAGAGGGAAAGAGGAAAGGTGATAAGCATAGCGGTTGAAACTATATTAGAGATTATTTTATTTTTTCATAACCTTCTTTGTTTCATAGAAGATTTCTGGTGGCATTTAAAATGAAATAATCTTTTAAAACTTGCAAGAAACAATCAGAAATAAGAGTGGAAAGTCAAGATTAGAGAAAGAGTGATTGTGTTATATAAGCTAGAAGCTTACGTTTTATGTAATAATAAATTTGACTTTCTAGATTTGAATTTGAAGGACTTGAAATGGGATGGGAGATAAGGTTCCTTAAGAGGATCTCATGCAAAAAGAGGAAGCACACCTGCTCCTCAGAGGAATTCTTTCTAATATTAAGTAAAAATAAAGGTAGGAAAAAAATCTCTTACAAAGCTTTATATAGGAGGCAGTGAATGATTTGGAATCCTCAGCCCCATGACAACAGATGAAGCCTGAACAGATTTTATTTGGCTATTTTTTACAACATTATTTAACTCTCAGTATACCACCAGGGTCTAGATTTTCAGTTTCATGTAAGTTCTTTGTTTGTTTGTTTGTTTGTCTTTATGTTTCATTGGGTCCTGTTTGGAATTCAGAATTTTTCATTTTCTGCCCATAGTAGCAAAGAGGAGGGAATTGTCAGAATAAGACAGTTTACAGTGATAAAACAGATTAGAAGATGAATGTAAAAAGATAGCATGCTAAGCTTTAATAATGATGATAAAACTGATAGTATAAGTGAAGTCGAAGATTGAGTTTTAGTTGATAAATTTTTTCAGATTCATCAACTCTTGAGCAAACAATGTATTTCCAAGGAAAACAGGAAAATAGGTTATTCTCATCCAGTCAGTCATTCCACAGGAAAAACTTCAAATATTTTGTGACAAGAGTTTGGACTGTCACATATTTTGTTGACAGTATTCCTTTATTTTTTTAATGTTTGTGCCACAGAATTTACTTAATACAGTTTATAATGGTATTAGTGCTGAAAGCAGTATGTACAAAGATGGTTGGAAGGAAATAAATGATGTAGAAATGAAAAAAAAGTGGTTGAATCGATCATTTTCATAGGTATTTATAAATTTAAAGGAATATGATCTTGCATTTATGGGACCAAGAATATGGATGGCTGTCGTTCAAAAAATTATGAGCTATGAAAGTTTCAAAAGTGTAATGCATTTTAGTGATACCTGAGCAAGAAGAACCAGTGTCCTCATTCGCAAGTTCCTTATTTGCAATTCTCCCCCTTCTAAAGCTCTATTTGTAACCCCCAAATCAGCACTCGTGACACTCTCATGATAATTTGTGGACATGTGCATGCAAAGATTAATGAAAATTAGGAATTGCCTGACATGCTTATTCCCAGTTGAGGCCAAGCAAGGCCCCAAATGCTCTGCCTTCCCGTTTTAGCTTTCATATTGTAAAAACACATTTTCATGTTCTCTCGTGCTACATTTTTTGCATTTTTGTGTGAAATGGGGTATTCTAAATTTTTGTCAAAAAGTACTGAGGTTCTTCCTATGCAGTGACTGCCTGGATAATTTCACCATTTGAGATGGCCTCTGAGCGCTATGCTGAAGTGCTGCCTAGCATTCCTGCGTGCAAAATGGCTGTGACGTGCCTGCCTTACGGAGCAGATACGTGAATCAGATAAGCTTCGTTCAGGCACGAGTCATAGTGGTGTTGGCCACAAGTTCATTATTAGTGAATGAACAATGTATATTAAATAAGGTGTCTGTAAACAGGAAGACACATGAAACTAAGTTATGCATAAAACAGGGTTATGTATTGATCTATTCGCCTCGACATGGTAGAAAATGTAGTGACTAGAAAAGGAACCTAACCTGTTTACTCACTCAGTGTTTGTGGCAACTTTATAGAACATAAATACCACAAATAATAAGAATTGACCATTCATGAGATGAATAAGTCCTAGTTGGTTGCATTCAAAGAATTGCTCATTTTTGGTAAATATACTTTTAAGGCCAGGTAAATACATAGTAAAAATTTGGGTTGCTCGTTTAAATCCTTATTAAATTATCAAATGACATTCTTTTCATTTTTCCTTCATTCTTAATGTAAATTTTTCACAAAATGACTTAAATTTTTTGTATATTTTAGAAGGTCCATTTTAGGGGTGCCTGGGTGGCACAGTCTGTTAAAGCGTCCAACTCTTGGTTTTGGCTCAGGTCTGATCTCAGAGTCATGAGATAGAGCCCCATGTCGGGCTCTGCACTCAGTGTGGAATCCACTTGAGTTTCTCTCTCCCTCTCCCTTTGCCCCTCCCTCCACTTGCACGCTTGTGCTTGCACGCTCTTTCAAATAAATGAATCTTTAAAAATAAATAAATAAAAAGTCAATTTTACCCAGAAAATGACTGGCTTTTTTGTGTCAGTTTTTTTGTTTGTTTTGTTTTTAAATATACTTATGCTGGAAGCATAAGAAAACACAGTTCATCGGAAGTAGTTCACATAGGTGCTTAGATACTATGATCTGGGGGTACTGGGTAATCCGGAATACTTGAAATAGATCTTCCATTACTTTTCTTTTTTGAGTTATTGATAGATTGCTAGAATAATAGCTTGAGATGATTCTCTTTGGTGAAGGTTCCAGAGTTCTGTATTTGTAGGATGAGGGCCTGTTTGCTTTAGAATGCAGAAAAGCCAAGTTATAAATTAGACCTGTTGACCTCTGTTGACCTTCAGTATTCGTGGGTTCACTACCTACTTTTAAGCGTGAGTACATAGGGGGCGCCTGGGTGGCTCAGGCAGTTAAGCGTCTGCCTTCAGCTTAGATCATGATCCCAGGGTCCTGGGATCAAGCCCCACGTCATTGTCGGGCTCCCTGCTCAGTGGGAAGCCTGCTTCTCTTCTCCCTCTGCCCCTCCATCCCCCTCGCGCTCTTCCACCCCCCCACTCTGTGTCAAATAAATGAATAAAATTTAAACAAAAAAAAAGTGAGTACATAGTTCAAAACTCTATTCTTTATTTATAACAAATTTCTTATGAGAGACGCCATTGTTAAAAACTGACCCTGAAATGTGTGTTTCACATTCAATGTGTGTTTATGGCCTTTAGTGTATTTTTTGTTTGCTTTTTGCTCTTCCCCACTGGACTGAGTTTGAAAGCATGAAAGCCGGGTACATTTTTATGTTTCTGCACTAAGCAGTAGTGCTTGACACTTAAGTATTCCTTTCATTGAATAGTGATCCTAGTGAGTTTGTGGATGAAGAAATCAATACATAGGTAAATTATGTCCCAGATTAGTAATTGATGGCAAAATTAGGATGTGGATTCTTATTAGAGTGTGAGAAAATTAAGTGATAATGTTAAATATTAAACACTTTGGGCTCCGTAGAGGTATCCTTAATCACTATGTATAGACTCTTCCTCCTCAATATGACAGAATACTTTACTTTGAAGTTATTTTAGGATACAACCTGTACATGGTGAAAAACTTAATATCCAAGCCTGCATAATTATGAGTGCTGTCTGTTTGGCTTCCCCACCCTTGTACTCACATACTTTGGTTTCTGTGAGTCCACATGCTTCTGGTGTTCCTCCCGCTTTAGCATCCTCCCCATACGCCTTCCTGTGTAGGCCCTATCCTTGTTTTTCTTTTTTGCTCTAAAATGTTAGGGAACATCTATGAAGTTCTCCCCACACATTCTTAAATATGCTGATTAGGCCAGTCTGTTTTCATCATCCTTCACTTTTTCTAAAATTGTTTAAAAGTGTCTTGTAGGGCGCCTGGGGGCTCAGATGGTTAAGTGTCTGGCTTTGGCTCAGGTCATGATCCCGGGGTCCTGGGATCAAGTCCCGCATTGGGCTCCCTGCTCCTTGGGAAGCCTCCTTCTCCCTCTGCCTCTCTCTCTCTCTCTCTCTCATGAATAAATAAATAAAATCTTTAAAAAAAAAAGTGTGTTATAAGTACACATTTAGTATTTTTATTCTAACAGTTCTCTTGACCACAGAAAAAATTAATATGATTTTTATTTGAAAAGCGCATGTTCCACAAAGTACCGAACAACTAGTCTTCTAAAAAACATTAATTCCTTTGTGCTTAAGAATTACTTAGATTACAGGGAACACTACATCAAAAACTAATGATGTAATGTATGGTGACTAACATAACATAATAAAATTTAAAAAAAAAAGAATTACTTAGATTAAGTTAGAAAGATTTTAGAAGGTTTAACAAAAAGCCTATACATTTTTACTCCAAGGTTTGTTTAATTTTAAAATGGGCCCAATTAGCTCTAGATTATTAAATAATCGGGAACCTTTGCTAAAGGAAAAATTCATAAAAGTATTTATATGTATAACTCTAACTCTTGTTCTAATTCCCGTCTTATTTCTCTGGCCATTTGTTTTATGAGTGTTTTTTCTCTTAGCTTGATAAAGATGACATGGTATACATGGAAGCCTATGACAAATTGCTAGAATCCTGGCTAACTTTGGTTCAAGACGACAAACATTTCCATAAAGGCTTTTTTACCCAGCACGCAGTTCAAGTTTTCAATTCCTATATTCAGTGCCACCTTGCTGCTCCAGATGGCACGAGGAATTTGGTAAGTTTCCAGCTAGATTGTAAGTAAAAATCTATTAATCGTAACTCTGTTTTGTCTCTTTTATTCTATTATACATTGTATAACACTAGAAATTTAGGAGGAGCTTCTTCAGAAGATGTGCTGAGAGCATTAAAGCAAAAGTCACCCCATTTTCTAAGTGAGTTCATGTTTTGTGGGGTGCTGCTTGTAGTTACCCTGTTTCTCTTCAGTTTTTAGTTACCCACCTATGTCTTCCTAATTGTCCAGTGATACGAATGACTTCTTGTATATAAAGGACCTTGGATCTTAAAGATGTCGGATCTTTTCAGTCAGTGACAGAAGTTAAATTCTGTGGTGTGGGAGGTGGGTTGTGAGTGCAGTTTGCTCTGTTTATGTATGTGCACCACGGGGTAGTAACCCTCCATTTCTTTCTCTTCGGCGTCTCCCTTCCCCCTTTCTTTTGTAACTACTAGCGTTGTCAGCATAGTTAGATAGCAGACCCTAGACCACTGGGTTGGCACTGTCCACCTCCTTTTCATGTGATGTGCTGAAGTTATTTTACAGTGCAACAGAAATGCATGATTCATTGAACAAAGGAATGCAGTTCCTCACTCTTTATTTCTTTCTTCAATAATAGACTGCCAATGGTGTGGCCTCTCGTGAGGAAGAAGAAATAAGTGAACTTCAAGAGGATGATCGAGACCAGTTTTCAGATCAACTAGCCAGTGTAGGAATGCTAGGAAGAATTGCTGCAGAACACTGTATACCTCTTCTGACAAGGTACACACAGTCCAAAGAAACCCCATGGAGCAAATATTCTCTATTCACAATTCCCTGGAGAGCACTTAAAGTGTTTAAAGACTTTAAACACCCCCACCCCGTATCCCAGCACACTGGAACAAATGGACAGAAACATACTCATGATTGCATTCCTTGGCTTGTACATTTGGAGCCCAGGCACTACAGCATAGATGGCAGAGAGATTGTGGAAAACATGGTATGAGAAATGATTTGACCCATATCAATAAAACCTTGGAATAACCAGTTTTCAAATGCCTGTTGTAAACCTTGATTGTTTGTAAAGCAGTGTTTTAATTTTATGTCATAAACAATAAATCACAATGCCTATATTGCTATGAGAACAGTTGTATACTATAATATTTTCATATATGTGTTTTTGTGCTAACATCTTAATTTATGTTGTCTAATAAATGGAAATTATGAGTTGTTCTAGATCTTTGCTTATTGAGCTTTATGAAGCTTTGGGTTTTTTCCCCCCCTCTTTCAGTTTATTAGAAGAAAGAGTAACAAGGCTCCATGGTCAGTTACAACGACATCAGCAGCAATTACTTGCTTCACCTGGTTCAAGTACTATTGACAACAAAATGCTTGATGATCTGTATGAAGATATTCACTGGCTTATTTTAGTTACAGGTTGGTTGGTTGTTTCTTTTTAAAATGTAATTGCCAACTGAGCAGTTTAAACTTCATATGTTAGAAGAAGCTTCATATGTTAAAAAAATAAAAGTCCATACATAGTGTTGGGTGAAATTTGAATACAGCTGCTGTATATCACAGAGCTATGGATGCATTTTTTTTAAATACTGGCTAACATGTATACTTAATGCCTATTGCATACCCAGGGTCTTATGTGGAATTGATTGCAACCCACTGATTTAGTACTGTTACCAGGTTTTATTATTGTTATTATTATTATCCCCATCTTGTAAATGCAGAAGCTGAGAGAGAGTTTTAAGAAACCAGCCCATGGTCACACTGCTATTAATTTTTGGAGCCAGAATGCAAATCTAGGCAGTCTGACTTTTAGGGTCTTCTTTTGTAACCATATGAGCAGTGTTTCTGTATTCTAAATAATTAAGAAAAATCTTAATTTTTGAAAAGGCATTCCTAAATACTTTTGATAGAGATAATAGTAGAATTCCTATTACATTTACAGAATATATTACTGAAAATTATTAAAAGGTAGTAGATTAAAAAGCCTACATGTCAGTATGAATTATAAAATTGGTGAATAAAACATTTGTCCTTTGTATTTTGAGAGTTAATTATCCGAGAAATAGAAAATTTCTTCTCCTCAAACTTGAAATTACCATTTATAATTTACTTTTACATCAACTTAATATGATGTATGTAAATCAGATAAAACTGAAAACATTTATAGTGCAATTTGATAAATGTAGATTTGTTAAGTGTTCATTTTTAATTTTTTTTAAACTGAAGGCTACCTCTTAGCTGATGATACTCAGGGAGAGACTCCGCTAATACCTCCAGAAATAATGGAATATTCCATTAAGCATTCATCTGAAGTTGACATTAATACAACACTTCAAATTTTGGGATCTCCAGGAGAAAAGGCTTCTTCCATCCCAGGGTACAACAGAACAGATTCTGTGATTAGGTAATATGAACTCTGTAGCTGTGCTCTTGTCATTTATACTGTTCTATAAATTCTGAGTTGATGGGTAGATGACTTGAGTGTGAGGCACGTTGTAAATCTGATACATGAAAGAAAATAAAACTTGGAGAAGCCTTGAAATAAACAAGGATGGCAAGTACTCAGTATATATAAGTAATGCCACTCTGGTGAGAATTGACAGCTATATCCTGTACTGAGCAAAACAAATGTAAAATTATTCTGATTACAGTGAGACTTTGAAGGGACATTCGATCGAAAGTACTCTGAACATATCCCATGTCCGTCAGAAAGCAGTGCCAACGCGGTGCAGGCACCCTAAATGAATGAAACAAAGTATATGAGATTCTTAGAAACCAGGGAAATATTAACAAGTATGTTTTGTTCATAAAGCTAAAACTACATTCAAATGGCTTTTTAAGGAAAACTATGACTCTTAACCTTATAAAATAGAAATATTTGTCCTGAATATGTGAAACTTGAGAGTCCTGTCAGGTGAAGTTAGAAGACAATAGTGTGCCTCAGATGAGAATTCACTTTGATCTTCCTAGTAGTGGTGGCAAAATTTTCATTCATTCTTAATGGTGAAATTAAGGAGGGATACACCTAGACAAATATCCTTCTAAAAGGGGAGTTGAGAACAGCATTTTAAATTTCAGTATCTTTAAGTTTAGGTTTCAGGCAGAGATATCAGTATTGAAATAACATTGGTTTTTGCCATTTGCAAAATCGGTAACTCAAGCAGGGTGCTGTCCTCTCATCTGTTTAATTTTAATGCAAAAATCTATGGATATCATTTACACCTGGGCAGTAGAAAATATGATTTTTTTTGAAAAATGAACTATTAAGTTGATATCAAGGAAATGTTTGAGAATTTATTTCCTTTATTGTTTTATTCTCGTTTGAAATAAAATATCAGTGCTCTATTGAAAAAGTTTTATTCTTTTTGGGATTACTATAGGCATTAGATTAGGTGCTTGTGGAAATCATTGCTTTTGCTTTGGCTTGATTCATGGTAAATGTCAATTTCAAAGGCAGTTCATTTCAGGGTGCTGTCATATTATATTCTTTGTCACATTTCTTGCCTGGGCAGTACCATCAGGAATGCTTTCCTTGTATTTTCAGTGCTTTTTCAATTTTTGCCAGTCTCAGGTATCAGTGTGGGAGCAAAACATTTTTGTATCTGAGAGCACAGACTATGGAGGGTTGAGGTGAAGGTTGGAAAACAAAAATTGCCTTTTTTTTTTTGTCCAAAGAATTATTCATTGTCCAAAGAATTGTCCAATGAAATTGAAGGCTATGTGAGAGAAACATTCCTAGTTTGACTAAAAAAAGTTGACATTTCTTGAAGAATTTATCCTTTGACAAATAATTATTGAGTACCTAGTATATACCAGGTACTGTTCTGGGCATTTGGGATACATCAGTGAACAAAATAAAATTGATTCCCCTTTTAAAACTCCTTATAGGGGAAAGATAATAAATAAATCATATAGTATGTTAGAAGACCATAACTGCTGTGGGATAAGAAACTGAGCAGGTAGAGGGGAATCAGGAGTGCAGATTTCAGAGATTTGTGTGATTTTAAATGATCAGTATAGACTTTATTTAGAAGGTGACGTGTGAGCAAAGACTTGAGGTTGGTAAGGACAAGGCCGTGAAGGCCTGGGGAAGAGCATTCCAGGCAGAGTGAACAGCTAACGCAAAGGCCCTGTGTCATGCGTAGCATATTCAGGCAACAGTGGGAACTGCCATTTTGGGTTGAGCAGAGTGAGGTGGAATTTTGTCAGAAGATGGAGATAGAAGGGAAAATAGAGGGGACTCAGATAAGGTCTTTAGCCTTTGCTCTGAATGAAGTGGGGTACTGTTGTAGGGTTTTGAACAGAAGAGTAACTTAAATGTTAAAAAGGTACTCTGCTACCTTGAGAGTGAACTATGAGTGACAGAAATGGAAGTAGGAGACCAGTGAAGAAGCTTATTGAAGTAATCCAAGGGAAAGGTGATAGTGGTCCAGATCAGAGTGATAACAGTAGATGTGAGAAGTTAAAGAGAGCTCTCTTGGACTCATTTTGCTGACTTTTGGTTTATGAAATGCAAAGGTAATCCAAGATTAATTTGTAAAGTATGGGAAAGTGTGAGTGCTGTCTGAAATATAAAGTATGTTCAGTTAGCATACTTAAGAAATTAAAATAGTATTAGAAATTGGAACTATCAACAATTAAAAAATATTTTAAGTGTAACATTGTGTGTCCACTACACTTCAATGAAAAAAAAGTGTTATCTTCATCAGTTGTTTCTTCCACTCCCCTATGTGCCAAGATATGATGATACAATAGAAGTCTGATAAGAGTGATAGAGGAGCACCTAGCAAGGGAAGGATCAAGGGGTGCTTATGGGAAAGATGGCATTTAACCTGATAGTTGAGGGTTGAATAGGAGTTTGCAGAAGGCGAAGGGTATTCCAGGCAGTGACAGTAGCCTAGGCAGAGGCCTGGAAGTGAGAGCGTGGCTTAAAGCAAGAGGCAGTTTGGTGTTGCTCGCATGTAAATGTGGATGGGAGAAGTCTTTGCGGAGATGGAGAAGTAGGGATGGTGCTGCGTATTGGGCGATAAAGATTGGAAGTAAGGCGTTGAACTGATCAAACCATAGTAGTAGGATTATACTGTGGCAGATGGATTTAAAGGATGACAAGGCAGCTTGGGAAGCATTTTCATTAGTAGTAGTGAGGGTGGAAAGAGGCAGATGGTTCTTTTAGAAGTAGGCCCATGGGATTTTGCTGACTGCTGGAGTGCGGCCGTGAGGATAGGGGAAGGCTCAGGGGAGCCTCAGCTTTATCTGCCTACAAACTGCCTGTGCTACTCTTCTTTACCTTGCTCCCACTTTACAAAAGAAAGGCAAGAGCTCTTACTCATTCTGAATCTTACCATAATGGATAGGCAGGTGTGTAAAAACGTACAAAGTGCCAAATAAAGGGATGGTTCCAAATAGTATGGTGTTGGGAATGAATGAGTAATAGATAACCAGTAATTTTACAAGTCAGGAGGTTTTCAGCCCTTTGCATTAAATGACGTTGAAGAAATCAAATTGTCAGTTAACAGATGATTAAAAATAATTTTTGATGGTAGATCTCTGTGATTTTTGGCATATAACTTGGAAGAAGTTCAAATAATTAAGGAACCCTTTTATTTTAAAAACGCCTTCCATTTGTGCTTAGGTTTTCTCAGTGTTTCTATTTAAGTGAAGAAGGAATCAAATCAAATTATGCTCAACTCTGTCTCATTCTAGCAATAAGTAATATTTTTTCACAGATACATGAACTCATTTGGAAAAACAAAATCCTGCTACGTTAATTTCATTCACAAATGCATAAAATTTTGTTTTTATGTTTAATAATTTATTTAAATTTGTGATGTACTTTGCTCAATTGTGTACTAATAAGTATTGCAAAGGCAGATAATCCAAAAGATGTTTTAAAACAGTCTGTGATCACTGGGAATATTTTTAAATTATATTTCAATAACTAGACATACTTGTTTCAGAGAATTATATGGTGTGATCAGTAAATGAGTATAAAAATGTATTAAGATAATCTGTGGGGAAATGACGTTGAAATAAAAATTTAAGGAGAAAAAGAAACAATGTAAAGTTTCCAAGTGTTAAAGAAAAACTTGTTTATTTTTCAAATGGATGATGGTGGGTATTAGAACACTGATAACTAAATTCCTGTGTATGAATTTAGAAAATTACTATAATTATTTAATTCAGATTCTGCTAAGCTGCAAGTTATATCATTTAAAACTATTCTTATAGGAAAAATCTGATACATCAACTTAAATGTATTGTGAAGTCATGGGGTATTTTTGTTCACATCCACCCTAAAATAATTTTTGAAAATTTGAGCACTTCGTGATATAGGGAGTGTATAATATATAGGGAAATAGATGTTCTGGGGGTAGAAACTTAAAAACCACCGGTTTGGTGCAAGGGAAGAAATTATGTCAAAAGGACAGAGTGATAAACAGTAGCTAGAACTTCTGAGACATCCAGTTGGATAAAGAACTGAAATGTAAGATTTCATTACAAGGAGATAATTTCAGTCATCTTGAGAGCAGTAAGGAAAAGTAGCAAAAGCCAAACTTCAGGTGATTAGAATCCCTGTTTTGGCACGGATATCCATAAAATGATGTTAAGATGGATTGTTTCAATTACACCCTTTCCTTCTTTGCCTTTTAGCTAAAGTCAAGTTATATATATACCACTTCTGATTATGTTCTCTCCTACTCGCACCCCCAGAACAAAGACTTTTCAACTTAACTACATATCATGCTCTGTTATTAAAACCACATAGCCATATGAATTACGTAGTGTAGGAGAGGACACTTTCTTAGAGCACATCATCACGGAGATAATTGTTTTAGCAAGATTTTTATTTTAAAATACCATTAAGAACCAAGTGTGTTAGGAAAGTATATAGGACTATCAGATTTAGAGACAAGATTCAGTATTCAAAGCATTCTAGATAAGTCAATTTCCAGATCCTCTACCATAAAATGACAAATGTATAAAAACATGCTAACCTGTGGGAGTTTTGAGTAGTGATAAAGTGCTGAAGAATGTAGCATTTACTCTGAACTTTTAATTGTATTTCTCAATTTTGAATGTGAAAAACATCTTTAGATGGTAATGCTGAGTCTTGCACATTCAGTACAACTTCCACAGAAGGTTGTCTCTATCCGTGACTCTTTGCTTTGTCTTGTTTCCTGCTTCCTGAAAGGTCAGCAATAAAATGGGGCATTTTTTACAACCCTATTGATGAAAATTTCAAGTATAGCCTGGCCTAAATTCAGAGAGTTGAGAAACAGAAAAAGGACTTTTAAGAAAAAAATAAGATTAGACAGTCAGTAAATAAAAGAATAAATGACTTCTTTTTTATACCTACAGGCTGTTATCTGCCGTTCTAAGAGTTTCAGAAGTTGAATCTCGAGCAATAAGAGCAGATCTCACTCATCTACTAAGCCCTCAAATGGGCAAAGATATTGTTTGGTTTCTAAAACGTTGGGCAAAGACTTATCTCCTGGTGGATGAGAAACTATATGATCAGGTCAGAATGTAAAACTGACTTCGTTTGGATTTATGATGATTACAGTTATGGAAATGAGAACATTTTTCTTGGTGATTTTCTCATCAAAATGTAACTAAGAGCTGAACATCTTCCGCATTGAAGAGAACTGTATGAATGGTGTGCGATTTTAATAACTTTCTTAGAGCACATCATTTGATTCAGCTTATTTAAACCATATTAATTTACAGATTACTATTGGGAATGGATTAATTTATGTTCTTTGTATTTGGTGTAAATATCATGTTGGTATGTTAATATGAAAGTAAAGTTGACAGGAAAATCACATTGGAAGGTTAAGTGGATTGAGGATGTCTTTTTTCGACTTAACAGAAATGAATACATTTATAAAATTGATGTGAAGTAAGTAGTACTTCAGATTTAGATGCTAATTTCAGTTTGATTTTTCTGTGGATTTCTTTTGAACCTGATCTGTCTGACTTTAAAAACTTTGTTTTCTCTCAAGATAAGTCTGCCATTCAGTACAGCATTTGGAGCAGATACAGAAGGTTCTCAGTGGATTATTGGCTACCTCTTACAAAAAGTCATCAGTAACCTCTCAGTGTGGAGTAGTGAGCAGGACCTTGCAAATGACACTGTGCAGCTCCTTGTCACTTTGGTGGAAAGAAGAGAAAGGTAAGCTGATTATAGGAGGCAGGGAGAGAGAGAGTGTGTGTGTGTGTTCACGCGCACACGCGCGCAGTCTTTCAAGTGGCAAACAGTTACATGGTCCTAAGGTCCAGATAGACCTTGCATTTTGGAGCAGTGTACTTAAAAAAAAAACAATGCATATTATTGCGTTAATGCAAATAGAGTTTTCCCATGTTAAAACTGAGGATTGTGTTGACTCTTCAAGGATTTGGCATTAAAGAATCTTATGAGAAACATGTTTAATTCAGTACTTTATAGTTTTAAAAACACTTTAATACAGAATAATCTCACTTAATTTTTTCAGGTATCCTATTCCATTTTAAAGATGAGAAAAACTTGATAATTTAGTAATTTTGCAAGTTAAGAGCTTTAGTGTTTTCTACAACTCTGGCAATGTTTCTCATTTTTCTTACTACATAGGAATGTGGTTGTTACTACTCTTGGCATTGGCTGACTCTTACTTAACTGAGTTCTTTTAATTTACTAGGTACTGTCCCAAGCATTTCATATATAGTATTTTATTTAATCATAATATCAGTTTCAACCATGAGAGTTAGGTCTGTTATTACCGTTGTTACTCCTATTTTACAGATCTGAAAACTAAGTAAGAGAGAGTAAATAAATTTTACATTGTCAAACGACTGATGGGATTTGAGCACAAAATTGTGTGACTCCAAAGTCTATACCAAGTTTACTATACTGTACTTTAAAAACTAATTAAATTCAGTTACCTTCCATTATTGTTTGCTTAGTATACATACCATGTAAGTAATACATCTTATGTTTTATTTCTGTCTATAGGGCAAACTTAGTAATTCAGTGTGAAAACTGGTGGAACTTAGCTAAGCAGTTTGCAAGCCGAAGCCCACCCCTGAATTTCTTGTCAAGTCCTGTGCAGAGGACATTAATGAAGGCTCTTGTTTTGGGAGGTTTTGCACATATGGACACAGAAACCAAACAGCAGTATTGGACAGAGGTAACAGTTCCCTTTATTTTGATTGCATCCTCTTATATCTTACCCTGTGTGTTGCTGTAAAATACTCTGTGGAGACATAAACATGTCAATCATACCTTTTCTGGTACTTTTCCCTAATAATGAATAGGTTGAAGCTTATTATTTTAGAAATATCATCTTACAATTTATCCATATCTGCATACGTGATGACTTTTGAATATTATCAAGTGTTCTGTGGTTTGGGCACATTTTTGCCCACAACTCAAATGAGAGCCTAAAGAATCAGTCTTAAATACGGAGATGCAAATTAACCACTGTATTAGTTTGCTAGGACTGCTGCAACAAAATACCACAAATTTAGTGATGTAAAAATAGAAATTTATTCTCTTGGAGGTCTACAGACCAGAAGTCCAAGATCAAGGTGTTGGTAGGGTTGGTTCCTTTTGAAGGCTGGGAAGGAGAAGCTGTTCCAGGCCTCTCCCCAAATTTCTGGTGGTTTGTTAGCAGTCTTTGGCATTCCTTATGTTGTAGAAGCATCATCGTAATCTCTGTCTTCATCTTCACATGACATTCTCCATGTGTGCATGTCTGTCTGTAAAGATAGCATTCGTACTGAATCAGAGGCCCACTCTAATGACCTCTTCTTAATTACATCTGCAACAGCCCTGTTTCTAAATAAGGTCACATTCTGAGGTACATGTGGTTTGGACTTAACCATATCAGTTTGAGGGGGACATAATTCAACCAATAACCACTGTGGACACATTGCCTTATGTAAATTAGCTTTAAATCAGGAACCAAGAGTTACCAGTGTATGTAGGTGGATGGCCTATAGTCCCTGTGACTAGAGTGCTCTTAATGTCTGAGAAGGGACATGGTAACGGAATTAGGTAGTCATCTGTGACTTCAGACCAGAATTTAAATAATTGTATTATCATATGTATAGCTTTAAATAGAATTAAGATATTTTCATGAATATGCATTTTCACTGAGGGCAGGACTGATTATCTGAAGTTATGTTCTCTGCCAAGAGGAGTTGGAAAAGAGAAAAACAGGCAAGAGCTGTATGTTGGGGTTGACCCTGTAGAACAGAGGTTGGCAAATTGGAGCCCACAGACCAAATCTGGCCTGCTGTCTCTTTGTAAATAAAGTTTCATTGAAACACAGTCATGTTCAGTTGTTTACATTTTTATGTCTGGCTGCTTCTGTACTACAGTGCAATTGTAATTGGGTAGTTGGGCCAGAGATGACATGTTCTGCAAAGTCCATATTTATTCTCTGGCCCTTTGGAAACTTAAATTTCATCTTTGGGGGTGGGGACAGTTAATGAATTGGAGAGAATGATTGTGACAGAATTCTGTGAATGGCATTGACTAAGTCATGTTCTGTGATTCGTGGTTTTTGGAACCTAAATTACTTCAGGAAGTGGTTTGACTTACATATGTTGTGAAATGATTACCACAAGAAGTTTAGTCAATATCTATCATCTCATATAGATACAATAAAAAGAAAAAACAAAAATTTTTTTTCTTGTGATGAGAACTCTGAGGATCTGCTCTTTTAACAATTATCCTATATATCGTACAGCATAATATATATTAACTATAGTCATCATGTTGTACATTACACTCCTAGTACTTATTTATCTTATCACTGGAAGTCTGTACCTTTCAACTACCTTCCTCCACTTCCCCTTTCCCCACCCCCCCATCTCTAGTAATTACAAATATTTTTCTTTTTTACAGAACAGTTTTTTTTTACTAATCTTTTTCTGAGAATTGGGATTTTTTTGTTAATTTATTATTTTATTAAAATTCCTCATTGTAAGTAAGATCATATGGTATTTATCTTTCTTTGTCCAAGTTACTTAAGATACACCCTCAAGGTTTATCCATGTGGTCGCAAATGGTAGGATTTCCTCATTTTTTATGGCTAAATATTCCATTGTGTATGTACCACAACTTCTTTATCCATTCATCCATTGGTGGACACTCAAGTTGTTTCCATGTCTTGGCCATTGTAAATAATGCTACAGTGAACGTGGGGGTTCAGATGTCTTCTCAAGTTACTGTTTTTATTTCCTTTGGATATATTCCCAGAAGTGAAATTACTGGGTCGTATGGTAATTCTGTTTTTAAGTTTTTGACGGTCCTCCATACTATTTTCCATTGTGGGCTGCACCAGTTTACAATCCCCACGAATAATGCACTGGGATCCCCTTTTCTCCACATCCTTGCCAGCATTTATCTCTTGTCCTTTTGATGATGGCCATTCTAAAAGGCATGAAGTGATGTCATATTGTGGTTTTAATATCCATTTCCCTAATGACTAGTGTACTGTGTATTATTTCTTTATGTAGGCCAGAAGTTATGATGACTCTCAAAATGGGGAATGTAGGGGTGCCTGAGTGGCTCAGTCAGTTGAGCATCTAACTCTTGATTTTGCCTCAGGTCATAATCGCAGGGTTGTAAGATGAAGCCCCTTGTTGGGCTCTGTGCTTTAAGACTCCCTCCCTCCCTCTCCCCCACCCCCCCACTTGCACATGCACACATGCTCTTTCCCTCTCTAAAATAAATAAAATCCTTAAAATGGGGAATGTAACATGTGGTTCAGATATTCTTTGTTTTCAGTGCTTTTTTTGCCTCCGTTTGTAATGGTTTAAGAAAGTGAATATTTATCCAGGTTGAGGAAATGAAGTTGAAATAAATGAAGCATGTGAATTAAACTTTTAGAGAATTATGCTTTACTTTGATAGGTTCTTCAGCCACTTCAGCAGCGATTCTTAAGAGTGATAAATCAAGAAAACTTTCAGCAGATGTGTCAGCAAGAGGAAGTCAAGCAGGAAATCACCGCCACACTGGAGGCCCTGTGTGGCATTGCTGAGGCTACCCAGATTGATAATGTAGCGATTCTTTTTAATTTTTTGATGGACTTCCTTACCAATTGCATTGGATTGATGGAAGTTTACAAAAATACCCCAGAGACTGTCAATCTCATAATAGAGGTTTTTGTTGAAGTTGCACATAAACAGATATGCTATCTTGGAGAGGTAAGCACTTTAATTTTATCACTTTAGGATTAGAACTCCTTAAAGTATAACAAAATAACAGATACTTTATTTTAAATTTAATGAATACTATCTGAAATAATATTTTTGTGCCTCCAAAAGAGTTTTCAAAAAGACTTCAGAACTTTGCAGAAGAACTCAGAGTTCAGAGGAAGGCTTATTGAAGGAATATAAAATTCTTTCCCTAATACTGTTAGTAATCAGTAATTTTTTTTTGATATAATGTTATTCAGTCAAACTCATCCAAATGAGGAATGTTTGATAAGACAAATGGTGGAAAAATTTAATCAGTTTCTGCCTTTTGAAACTCTTAAGGTTAAGCTTAAAATTTTAAATGGCAATTTGTATCTTTGCTTTATAATCAAATGGATATTTAGACACTTAATTCTTTTACGATCAGTAAGCAGAGGTGCATTAATTTTTAGAAATTATTTAGAAAGCTGTTTTAAAACTGCCTTAAAGGAATATATTTGTAATTGCCTGCAGATTAGCATAAATCTTGTTTTAAACCATTTCATATGGGTTCCTGATTTGTAAACTTTTTAGTTAGATCAAAGGCACTTGCTCAAAAAGTAAGATTTTATTTTATAAATATTACAAGTGTAGTCACAGATGTATGACTGAGAGGGCAGGCCATTGCCATTTATTTTGATGTTTAAGACCACTGTTTGGGGGGGCGCCTGGGTGGCTCGGTCGTTAAGTGTCTGCCTTCAGCTCAGGTCATGATCCCAGAGTCCTGGGATCGAGCCCCGCGTCGGGCTCCCTGCTCCGCAGGAAGCCTGCTTCTCCCTCTCCCACTCCCCCTGCTTGTGTTCCCTCTCTCACTGTGTCTCTCTGTCAAATAAATAAATAAAATCTTAAAAAAAACAAAAAACAAAAACCACTGTTTGGTACTCTGTGCTTTTGCAAGTTAAACAATATTAAATCTTAAAATAATAAATGTTATACAAGAAGTTGAAACAACAGAAGTAAAACAGTTCTGTTGCCAAAATCTTATTATCTCTCTAGTATGTATTATCATATGAACAAAAAACTGGATGTCAGATTTTGTTAGGAAACTGCTAATTTTTAAAATATAACTGCCATCTTTAATATATGCTTTTTCAATTTTCTTAATGTTTTACAATAGTTTAAAACAAGTATTTGAGCTACTATTGGGATTCAGAGTAAATTTATTAGATTATAGATTCTTTTAGGGTTTATATTTTTTTCCCAAATAAGTTCTACTTAGTAATGTAATTTATCGCTCATTCTCTTACAGTCCAAAGCTATGAACCTATATGAAGCTTGCCTTACTTTGCTGCAAGTATATTCTAAGAATAACTTAGGGCGGCAAAGAATAGATGTTACAGCAGAGGAAGAGCAATACCAAGACCTGCTTCTCATTATGGAACTTCTTACTAACCTTCTATCAAAAGAATTCATAGATTTCAGTGATACAGGTAAGATGTAGTGTGATGGTTTTAAACTTTGTTTTTATTGTCTTTTTTTAAAGCAAAGGAATGTTTTTTTGTTTTTTAAGCAACGGAATGTTTTTAAGTGAAATTTCATGAAGTTCATTTTACAAAATCCTGAAAGTCAGTCTGTTTGAAGTGAAGGTAGGACCAGCATCCCTTCCTGCTTGGCTCTTCTAAGAATAATAGTAATAATATCTTCCATTTATTAGGTTCTTATAAATGCCAAGCACTGTTCATATCACAATGGCAAGAGAAGGTATCATTGTTATACTCATTTTATAGATGAGAAAAGAGGCACAGAGGAAGTCGTGTCATTTGCCCACAGATCAATAGCTAGTAGGTTGCAGGACTGGGATTCACATCCCAGCATCTAAATGGGATGCCAGGACCAGTCTTTTCTGAGTTACACTTTATTTATTTACTTTTTTAGATTTTATTTATTTGAGAGAAAGAGAGTGTGTGAGTGAACATGAGCAGAGGTGAAGGGGGGCAGAGGGAGAAGAAGACTCCTACTGAGCAGGGAGCCTGATGTGGGGCTCCATCCCAGGACCCTGGGATCATGACCTGAGCCGAAGGCAGCCACTTAACCAACTGAGGCAGCCGCTTAACCAACTGAGCCACCCAGGTGCTCCTGAGTTACACTTTATTGACTGAATCACTCCCCTATATTCTCAGAGATAGCTATCCCTGAAAACTGTAACACTTTCCAGATTGCAGCTTGGTTGGGAATCCTTGTTGGGATGGGTAACACTGAATTCTGGAGGTGACAGGCCAACTTGGAAGACCTAACCTAGGGGCTCAGAGACAGCCTGACCTTGGGGAAGTCAGTTAGCCTTTCTTCGTTTATTCTGTTAAAGTGGGTACATAATAAATGCCATTTGAAATGTCTTAAAGATTAGCTACAAAGTATCATGGTGCCTAGCATTGTTCTGGCAACCAGTAGGTAAAAGAAAGTTGGTATTACAGGCAAGAACTTTATTAGTAATTGAAACATCATTTATTTGCATAGTTTTCCTTCACTTGCCTCTTAACCCACTGCCAACCGTACCTTAAAACCCAAGGGATCTTGTTTTCTAAGAGAAAAATGAATCCTATCTAAAGCTTCTTTTCATACGTTGTGCAGACATTCTTAGTAGTGGACACTTCTGACGTCCTTGTAAGATTCTCTTTCTGAATTGGGTGCTATGACATTCCACTTTTTCCCCAATACTTGAGATTCTTCTTTCTCTGTTTCCTTTATTGATTTATTTTCCTTATCCACTGAACAACAGTGCTTTGCAATGTCTGCCCCTACCCTAAGCACTACCAGTTTTACAGTCCAGATGGTTTACTCTCCTTCGCAGTTAACGAGGGGTACCTAGGAGAGAAGCACCGTCCTGCACTTTGCCTCAGTGAATTCTTTCTATACCAAAGCCTCAGCTGCCCATCTGTTTCTAGGCCCAGCCTCTCACCAAGTGTCGTTCCCATGTTTTCCTATTTGTTCAGGTTGATGCTTCTCCATCCAGGAGTTCTTAACCTTTTCTAGAGCACGTGTGCCTTTAAAATCTGAAGTAGTTATTGAGCCTTTCCCTCAAAAAGTGTGTTACCTTAGCCTCAGAGTTTTACTCAAGGTTAATAGTTGAGTTGTGAACCCTTAGAAACTCAGCTGTAGACTTTCCAGGGCTGAAAAGACCCAGATCAAGAACCCTGTACTCTGAAGAGTCTGATTCAAAGTTAAAAGCTTGTACTAAAAGGGGTGGGGAGGGCTGTTAAAGGTTGTGGAGAGGGAAAAGGCATCCCAGTCATCAGGTTTGTGGTGCAGTCTGCTGTTCTAAGAACACATCGTATAGATGAATGGCAGGTTTTCACAATAAAAAGGCAAAAAGATTAAAAGAAACAGCATTAGCTGATAAAATAGCAGGCAGAAAGGAAGGTGATACTTCAAGTGATTATTTTTAAAATAAAGATAATTGAGATAAAATAGAAAATGCTTTAAATATTATGAAATACAATTAATATAGTAGGGGGGAGATTAAAAGCATAAGTGGAATGGGCCTCTGCTCTATATTCTTGAATCCTTAGGAGAGCTTGTGGCTGGAGAGCCGAGTCCCACCAAGCACGAGGCAGGATGTTCTATACAGTCCTGAGAGCCCTATCTTTTAGGAGCAAGCCCTGGGAGCGGGGTGGGAGCTCCAGGACCAGTTTCCCAGGGCTCCAGAGCAGGCCCAGGTTTCCTGCGGGATGCAGTCCAGGTTCACCAGTGCCCGGCTTCAGAACATGGGATTCTTCCAGCTGGAAAGGAGACTCCTGGGGAAGTTCACAATTAGGCTGAAAAAGTCATTTTCAAATAGAAATGCTTTTTTTTTTTTTTAACCTGATTTTATCTTTTTGTCTGTTATACAAGTACTTTGCTCTTAATAGAAAATTTTTTAAGTTCAGCGATAGAAAAGTCACCCATTCTTTGACATAATCTAGAGTCCAGTATAAATGGCATTGTGGTCATTTCCCTTTTGGTTATTTTGTACAATTTTGTGATCATACTCTAAATATAATTTTATATTCTGCCTTTTTTTTTTGTTAATGTGTTGTTAGCCTTTTCCTTGTCATTAAAATTTTTCATGACCTTTAATGGCTGCATGGTATTCCATGTTTTGGAATTTAACCTGATTCCCTAATACTGGACATTTGGAATATTTATGGTTTTGCTGTTATAAATGGTGATGCAGCATTCACTTCTGTGGACAAATCTGTGTCTGAATTTCTGATTATATCTTTAGTACATACAGGGCTCAAGAGGCTCTTAACATTTTACTTTTGAAGGTAACTGTTATACTATATCCTCACCAGCATTTACATATTATCATTTAAAAGTCATTTTTAATTTAATGAATCAGAAGTAGTATCATTGTTTCATTGAGTAGAATGAACTGTTTTTTGTTTTTTAATTTTTTAAAAAGATTTTATTTGAGAGAGAGTGTGTGTGAGAGAGAGAGAGAGCACAAGCAAGGGGGAGGGGTAGAGGGGGAAAGAGGGAGAAGCAGACTGTCCCCTGAGTAGGGAGCCCAATATGGGGCTAGATCCCAGGACCCTGGGGTCACGACCTGAGCCAGAGGCAGACATTTAACCAACTGAGCCACCCAGGCACCCAAATGAACTGTTTTTCATTGGGCTTCTGGTTTTGTTAGATGTTTGTGGATTTTGCTCACTCACCTATTTAGGTCTTAGGAGGATTCTTAATTTATATGCATTTTTTATGGATTAAGGATAATAATCCTTTTTCATATTGGTAGTTATTTTTTTAACTACTTTCTTTTTTCTGTAACATTTTAATTTCTGTGTTTTCCCCCATTGCTTTACAGCGTAGAAAAATTTCACACACCTAAGAGGTAAAAATAAGTATTACTGTGGAAATTGTTTAACTTACGGTATAGTTTGTCAGTGGAATAGGTTTTACTTTACTTTTATCATTGTAGAATAATAATGTAAACACAGAATAGCTGCATCAAGTACTCAGAGACCCTAAAAAGTAAAATACAAAAGGATGACCCAGGGCGAGACAAAGATAGAATATATCTAATTCTGTTGGTTTATTGATGTTGCAATTCTAAGACTGCCTTTTTTTTTTTTTAATTTTCATAGATGAAGTGTTCAGAGGACATGAGCCAGGGCAAGCAGCAAACAGGTCTGTGTCCGCAGCTGATGTTGTTTTATATGGAGTGAACCTAATTCTGCCTCTGATGTCACAAGATCTTTTGAAGGTAATTGAAGACAGTGAATGTGAACATGCAAAGTGTGTATGTTTGGAGTTAAAAGATGTTTTAGACAAGAATAGACCCCTGATTTAATTAAGGGGGTATAAGTACCTGCTTCTCTGTTAAGGACACATGAAAACTAGAATTTTAGGTTCCCATTGTCTCATTCACAATTGTGCATGCAGCTCAGTACGCAGCTCATGCCCTCATTTAATCTTGCCCCAGAGTCCTGCGTTCGCTGATAATTAGTGACAGGAAAAAAATGGTTCTTTTAGAAACTTAGTTCTAATGTTGGCAGTTCTGGTTCCCTCATCATTTGTCATTAAGCAACTCAAGTTATATGTTTGGGTATATTCCACTGATAATTTTGAACATCATTCTCAGATTTGAGGGATTGAGCCATAGAAGGCATTTTCTAGCCACCCCATATGGTAAGAAATCAAGACTACCACAGTTTTTAAATTTGTGTACATTCCGATGACCTCGTGTCTTGGTTTCACTAGTCAGTATTGGTGATGATGAGGCTGCCTTTTCTTCTTTCTTTAAGTACCACAGGGGAGGAGAGTCTGTTTTATGAGTTGTCACAGAGGGCGAGGGTGGGGACAAAGATGCGGATGGGGAAGAAGTGGGAAGTGTGTGCGTGTGCGCATGTGTGGAGCTCACACAAGGTAGAGTGGGAGAGGGAAAGAAAAGTCAGTCGTGGGAAGGAAGAAGATAGAGGTTGAGAAGTGGTTGGACTTTGTGGTTAAGAGTAGGAGGTGCTGGGGCGCCTGGATGGCTCAGGTCATGATCCCAGGGCCCTGGGATCGAGCCCCGCATCGGGCTCCCTGCTCGGCGGGAAGCCTGCTTCTCCCTCTCCCACTGCCCCTGCTTGTGTTCCCTCTCTCGTTGTGTCTCTCTGTCAAATAAATAAATAAAATCTTAAAAAAAAAAAAAAAAAAGAGTAGGAGGTGCTGCCAGATTCCCAGAGTGGACTGGGACCTCATGCTTCTTTCCCTGAGAAATGTCTTTGGGAGAGGATACTGATGCCCCATGAGCCAAGTATTCATGTAGCCACTGTATATTGCTTTGCTTTTAGGGCTTTTTTGGTTTGGTTTTGAGGGTTTTTTTTCCTCATCAAATAGACCATTAAACTGATGTGTATTTTCTTAAGTAAAGTTAAAAGTGTGCATTGCCTACTTTTTACTTCAGTTTTCCAGGACTATCAATGAACTTTTGGAAGTGTGAAGGAGTGAATATTCTATTCTACACATAATCTTAACGATTTGTATTTTTCTAATATGCTGGAACGCAAGTAAACACATTTGCAAAAGGGTTTTAATCATAGGTCATTTAATAATTTGAAATTTGGCTGTTTGGTCTACTTTTTCAAGGTAAACAGACTATCTGGAATTGGCTGTAGCTTTTATTAACTGTCCAGATCATTGTTTCTACTATGTATTACTTTTGTATACTAAAATATTTCCTTTATTATAATTTATTTTTACAATTAATTTGGTCTTCATGTCTTCTAAATCCGATATGTTTTAAAGAAATCATTGCACTTTAAGTTTGTTGGTTATTATTTTATTTTACTGCATTAATGAAAATAGAAATTAGATATCAGTAGGCATCTAAATATTTAATATTTCTTTTTCAGTTTCCAACCCTTTGTAATCAGTACTACAAATTAATCACATTTATCTGTGAGATTTTTCCTGAAAAAATACCACAGCTTCCTGAAGATCTTTTTAAAAGTCTGATGTACTCTCTAGAACTAGGAATGACATCATATCCTTTAAATGAACATCATTATCATTTGTCACTTGGGGTAAAAGATCTTAACCTAAAGAAAAGTTTTTAAAATTTGTATTTTTAATTTTTCCTTAGTGGTATAGTTTTATTTCTTAAGAAAGCAGTCATCTACCTCCCTGAATTCTGTGTTTCTTTCGTTAGTTTGCCTCACCTTCTCCTCCTCTCACAGATCCCAAAGGCGTTTGGCACCTGGTCCTAAAGTCACTCTTTCATTAGGAGCACCAATTAGTAATGTCATGTACTGTTGCTGAGTCTCAGATCTTAGCTACCTGATAGTAGAGAATAATAAGGCTTTTTATCACTTGTGTCCTCATGATCAGAAACCTAGAAATCTACAGTCCAAGACCCTCTCAGAAACACTGGAAGCCTTTTCTCACATAATGCCATACACTAATCTACTCCTCTGTATTCAGTCCTAGAATTTGATAATAGCTATAACTTCTTCATCTTTTATAAGTCAAATATATCTAGTTTGTTCCTTGACCTTCATGATCAGAATGAGTTCGGAGGTTTGCCAGCTCTGCCTGGAAGCTTTAACACCATTAGCTGAACAGTGTGCTAAAGCACAAGAAACAGATTCACCACTTTTTCTAGCAACACGGCACTTTCTTAAGGTAAGATGTTTGGGTGGCCTGTCGTGAAACCATCTGCTTTAATAAGTATGGTCAGTGCATGTAAATCTTCATTCAAATGAGGAAATGCTTACATCATTCATAAAGCAGGAAATCATTACTTTTTGTTCACTGTGCTTTCTGGAGATCAATTCCCTGGATACATTATTCTCCCCTTTTATTGTGTGTTCTTGAAAATCGATTTGGGAAAGGTAACAGGGAATTTGGTTATTTGATGATTTCATGTATCACAGCAAGGGGTAACATCTGTACATTATGGTTGGATTTTTAAAAAACTTTAATTTTCAGATTTATTTAATAAATAAGAACAACTACCACTCCTCCTTTGTTGGAATGGGGAGGGGCTGGAAGATTGAATGATCATCATATATTTTTATTTAGAGGTTTTATGTTGTGTACTTTCAGCTGGTTTTTGATATGCTGGTTTTGCAAAAGCACAACACAGAGATGACCACTGCAGCCGGTGAAGCTTTCTACACGTTGGTGTGCTTGCATCAGGTACTGGACACAAGTCTCTTCATGGGACTCTTCTCATTTTTTTAGCAAGGAGATTATTCTTGCAGAGAGTGGGCCTTTAATACTTCCAGTTCTTAGAGAATCTGTGACTCATTGCTTCAGTTATGTCTCAGCGAGGCTATATTTCTTTACTTCCTTGTCAGCTCTGACTTCCTCTGTTTCATTTAACAATCTGTTGTCAGTTAATAAGGACTTCTTTTCCTTTCTCCACTGTTGTGAATCACCCTTTGCATTGATTGCTGCCCTAAAGCTTGTCCTTAAACATGTGCTAGGAACCAGGAATCAACCTGAAAGAATAGTAGTGAATGTTTTCTGTCCTTGAGGAACTCACAGTTTTGTAAGGGAGACCAGATGAGTAAGACTGGGGACCCAGAGGAGTCTGCCTTGAGAAAGCATGGAAATCAACAGTGTGTATTTCCTGTCATAGTATGCAAAATGTATTACTTAATATTACACTATGGAAAAGAGTATATTGTTTCATTTTATTTTGCTCAGCCTTTAAAGACTCTGAAGTGCTCACTCACTGTTTGGGGTTAATGTAATGGGAGAAAAGTTCCACTGTCTCACCTGTCCCTTCCCTATTCCAATAGAGTAGGTACCCATCAGGTATATGAGAAGAACCATATTGGGCCATCAGCTGCCTTAGTTTCCCAGCACTCCTTTCCCCTCTTTTTTGGCTGTCCACCCACACCGCCAAGCACATGTAAATGTCCTGCATGACTAAGTGATTGACTTTTTTTTTTTTTTTTTTATTAAAAAGCTTTGGCTTTTTTTTTTTCCTTCCTTGTGTGTAGAGTCCATAGCATTTGCTGTGAGTGGCACTCAGGGTTTGATTTTATTTACCTTTTTAATAAAGATAGGATTTTGAGGCCTTTCATATTACTTAAAGGCTCCCTATAGACTTCCTGTACCATCTGCGCCCCAGGCCGAAGGTACTCTGGGACTTTGGTTCTTGCTGTGCTCTGGAGGTACTACTTTCTGCAGAAGGTACCCAACTCAGGTCTGTGGCCTTTCACTATCATCTTATTCCTTTTTGCTTACTAGGAAGATAGGCTTCTTGTTCCCATAGATACAAGGCATTGCATTCCAGTTGCCTTTTTAAAAAAAACCATATTTACACATTGTAGAAAAGAGAGCAGGGCTTTAGGTGTGGCTAGTATAATATCTTGCTGGGTCTGGCCCCAGAGGGACTACCATTTCTTTTGAATAGGGAAATGATTTGAGTTTATACTTAACTCCTCTGTGAGCAGGTCTGCCCCTTGGATAGAGCATTTGGGGTAGCCATCTGGATTCCATGCTTGTGGGTCAGGGATGGCATACTATGCGTTACTCTTCCTTTCCAGATGTAATTAACATTTCATGTCACCATTCTGGTGTATCATGATAGTCCAAGAAGCTAATGAAAAATAGCATCAGACCTGCTTTTTTTTCAAGAGAGCTTATCTTAAAAAGCTGTTTTGGTTGAATGTCTCTTAACCCCACACCTACTCCTCTGTATAAGGCTTTATTATAGAGGGCATTAAAAATAGAAGCTCTACACATACACCCCCACCCCTACTCCCATGTTCCTGTATTTCTTATGCTCCTTCTCCTGCCCTTTCTCCCAGAGCCACTGGGTTCATTACTGGTTCAGAGCACATTTGCTCATTCAAAGTATTCTACTTCCACCTTGAGAAAAGACTGAAATGGACTCCTCCCACTATGCCACCTCCTCCCAAACAACTCCTGTCTGCCTTTGTGTGAGTCTGCTGTCCTCAGAACTGTGTTGACAGGATGTCTATATTAACCTCTGGGAAATTGTTGAAAGTCAGGCTGCAGACTTAGGTTATATATAAAATGCAAAATAAATATGAATAATGTGCTTAGAAAACAGAGAAGAGGCAACACAACAGAGTTAGTAATTGCATGACTTCTGGAGCCAAGCAGCCTGGATTCTTGCTTAAAAGCAGTGCAATCTTGGACATATTACTTAATCTCACTGTATGTAAGAAGTTCCGTCTGTGAAGCAGGAGTATAAACAGTACCTATTTCATAGGATTGTTATAAAAAGTGAGTTACTAATGTAAATGACTGGGACAGTACCTGAAATATAGTGAACTTTCAGGAAATGTTAACCATTACAAAGAGTTGTTGTGATCATTTCACAGTGTATTCAAATAGGGAATTACACCGGAAACTAATATAATGTTATATGACAGTTACGCTTTAATATAAAAGAAAAAGAGCTTTCAGACCCTGCCTTTCAGAATCCCACAACCCCAGTACCTGATGTGATCTACTTGTGTGATGTTTGAGGAAGGTACATGTTCTTACGTGTACTTTATCTCTTCAATAGGCTGAATATTCTGAATTGGTTGAAACATTACTGTCAAGTCAACAAGACCCAGTTATTTACCAGAGATTAGCAGATGCCTTCAACAAGCTTACTGCAAGCAGCACTCCTCCTACCCTGGATCGGAAGCAGAAGATGGCCTTCCTAAAGAGTTTAGAAGAATTTATGGCAAATGTTGGTGGTCTCCTTTGTGTAAAATAAACAACAAAACTTTATGCTTAATTTAGATCTTTCTGCAAAGTGCACTGAATTGCTAAAAGCTGACTTGAGTCTTGTCCTGTTCTTCAGTTCTTTGGCCGTTTTGGATTTTGGAGAGCCTGAAAGTTTGATATGTAATGCAGTGAAACAGGAGAGGTCACCTTTGAATCAGCTTCTGCTGTTGGGTGTTAGCCACAGTCTGTCATATATGTCTTGTAGATTTTGAATGGTGATTTAAGATTTTCAATTCCATATATGTGCAAACAGATATGGGCACCATGAAATGCATATTCAGTGCCTTTCCCCCTTTATCAAAACATTAGGTGGCTAGCCAAAGTTTAGAATTTTTGTTAAATTAAACATTAGATGGACATATACTCCCCATTGTTTCTCAAAATGTTGTCCATACATCACCTGCATCACTCGAGGAGCTGGTTGAAAAGGTAGATTCTTGGGCCCAACTGTAGATCTTCGGAGTCAGAATTTCTGTGTGTTGGGCCTTGGATTCTTCATTTTAATAAACTCCTCCCTTCTGCCACCCCAAAAGTTTTGAATCAATGCAAAAGACATTGGAAACTCCTAAGAGGTTTTGTGTTTTCAGACTTTTCCTCCCTTTGATGATAAGGTTTGTAACTGAGCAGGAAGAAAACACACCAGGTATTTGTTGGCTTCTTGTAGCACACTCTCGCTCTTTCTTTTTTGTAACATCAGCCTGGTGTCGCAGGTTTTGTGTAATACAGGCCTCTAATCATACTCTGATGACTGAACTTGAGGAGGAAAATACATGTATATTTTTGTTCCATGAAAAGAACTTTAGGAACTGTAGCCATTTCATTGCCTTAATTTTAAGAAGAAAATACGAAAAAGAGCAGATTTGTTTTAGTAAGAAATCAAGTCTTGATGCTTCAGAGTTGGTTTAGGGTGTTAGCTGCTATGAGCCTGGTGCCCTTTTGATCGTGTATTTATGTGGGTTTATGAGTGAAATGAAAGGCTCATTCATATGTAGTCTAACTTTTTGAGTATGTTTCTCTTCAGCCATGTAGCCCATGGCTAATAATCTACCCTTGAGTGGCTTGCTTAAGCAATAACTATTTTAAAGGATGTGAATTACTGATTCATACAGACTATTATACGTTGGGGCATTAGGGGCAATAATTATGCTAGAGTGGACGTTCTCCTCATTTCACAGGAGCCATGTAAATTTAATTTAAGAGATTAAAAAATTCCTATTTAGATCCTCTAGTTTGATTTTTCTAATCAGGACTTTTGTACTGCTGCCATGCTCCCCTTAATTCTGTGTGCCAGCTTAAATTATGGAAATGAAAGCTAATTTATAAACTGCAGGCATATGAAACTCTGCCCACCTCAGTGTCAGAAATCCCACAGCACAGTGACAGAGGACTCTGGTGCAGGCACACTCTGAAACTGTGCTTCCAAGGGATGGGCTTTCTCCTTCTGCTGTGTTCTTGACACCTACATGCTCAACTGTCCTTCGAATGTAGTGTTCATATCTGAATTGCATATAGTATTTGCACCTTCACATGCGATGCTGTGCAAAACTCTGTATAACTCTGTGCTACTAACAGTTATAGTTAACAAAACTGGAGCATCGAAATTACACCCACCCTGTGCATGTGACGTTAGACACGAGTGAATGCAAAGCCTAGGGCCATAACTTTGTGAGGAACATTACTCTTAATTCAATCACTGTTGAGTAACAACTGAGGTGGAGCAAAAGCATCTTAAAAGACAGGTAGGAAAAAACTAATATCACTCTTCATGAAATATACATGTTATATTTTTAAGAACGCTTTGAGGAAGTGCATTTATTTTTAGATTTTTTTTCTTCTTTTTTCCCCTTAACTTGAAGTCCGATGTGGCATTGTACTTGGTGTTTTATGTTTCCCAGCTCCCTCACGCTTTCTCACTAGTTGTGTGCTGTGCATATCTGTGTGTTCAGTAAGTATAGTCCCTTTGCCAAAGGACGCTGAAATACGCAGCTTAACTGGGTAGGTCTGCTGGCCATGACAAAACTATAATCAAATTGTTAAAAGTAAAGATGAGTAGGAAAGAAATGCCTTGTTAAATAAAAAGGCATCAATATTTAGTAACTTCTCTCTAGACAGTAATGTATCTGCTGAATTGGCCCAGATGTTATTATAATACTGCGGTTTCATTAGATGAGTTTCAATTTAAGTGAGATTTACTTCGGATTGGACCAAATGATACTTCAGTATTGCCAGAATGTTGATTAGTGGCAAACTGGGGAAAAACAGCCACCACCATTTTCTAGGTAATGGGGATGCCACTTTAATTGCAATGGCTAAGACTTCTTTTCAGGGTGTTTGTGTGTGTCTGCCTGATTGAATATTTGTTTAGTTTGGGTCTTTTGTTTTACTTGGTCCAGTTTTGTTTTTGGCTATATTTACTGGCTCTTTGGTTTTTGGGGTTTTTGTTTTAATGCTCTTGGCCCAGTGGATGTAAAAGAACACTGGCTTAATTCTAGTAAATTGATTCGTACTATTAAGACTCAGTTGTTAAAAGAGTTTTAAAAACAAAAACATTATTTGTGCCCCCCCTTTTATATGTTAAAGGGACACCGTTGACGACACGATTGTTAGAATTTTGTGCTTTACGAAATTTCTGTTGTTCATATATAATATCCTTTAACTTCTAGTTTTCAGTTCATCCTTTGACTTACTTCTTGTTTTATTTTCCTTTCCCATTTGTTTCCCAAAGGCATAGTCTCTACAGAGTCCCAAGGCACAATCACTAGGGACTTGGTCCTTTCACAATTTGTATCCATATAACAGTACCTGTAACTGTATTCTTGTAGCTCTGTTAAAAGGATTCGTTTGTTTTTACAGTCCTTCTGGATGGGTGGCTGCCTGGGTAGCTAAACTATTTGGCAGTATTTGACAGCGTCCTTCTCAACACAGTTATCCGGGTCTTTCTGCCTGGCTGTCTCTTAATCTGTTGGAAGACAGGAGGGGCATGTTAACATCACTGCATTGAGTTTTTTTGTCTGGTATAAAGTATGACATGTAAAAAAACAAAAAACTTTGCAATATTTTTCAAATTTTAAGAATTTAGTCTTATTTCATTGTAAACCATGTATCTATATTACATTACTCAGTTCAGATATGATGGTTACTACCTTTTTTTTTCAGTTTTCACTTCACAACCAAGCATCTCTATTATTATAACTTCCCCCCCAGCCAGCAATATTTAACATTCCCCTTACTGTCTTTGATTGAACTTTCTCTTTTACCAAGATGTCAAGTCTTTGTCTTTCTAATACCACCATATTTCCCCTTTTGGTTAATACTTGTATGAATCCCTCATCCAAGGATTTCAGGTTTGAGTATCTTAGTCCAGTAATCGGTGTCAGTTGAACCCTTAAAAAACCCTTTTTAAAACAGTTTTGTTTGTTTCTGTTTGCCACTTCTGTGGTTGTCAGTACACCTTATAAGTTAGCTGTCTCACAGATATCCTGAATAAAATATTAGATGTTAAGGCAGAAGGAACCTCAATACTTCTTAGTGTTTGTTTTTTAAACAGAATAAAGAATGGATTTGGATAAAAGTTTTTTAACATAATTTTCTGTAAATTCTTCTACAAAACAGCATAGCTGATTTGAGGATGTAATAATGTTTTAAATTATTTTAAAATGCAAGTGGGTATTCTCTTGATTTGGTAAAACACTACATTTAAGAATTCTTTAAAAATTGATTTTCTAAAATTAAAAAATGTCCAGATTAGGTATATGGCTGAGCTCAAATTGATTTGAAGTGCCCTGGTGAAAGGTGAACTTTAAATATTTAAATTTAGATGTGAGAAATGTGAACTATTCCTGACTGATGATAATGGGAACCCATAACATACTTAGCCAAAGAATATATTTGGTTCAGGTAAAGATATAAACCTAATAATGGGCATCCATTCTTTTTTTAAAGAGGACGGATGAAGTGTTGTGTTCTGGCCTGTAGCTCTCTCTTCTTAGAAAAGACTGAAGTATTCTGCGGCAGTTTCAGTGGTGACTGGGAGGTGCGGCTGGCACACCACACTCTGAGACCCACACCAAAAGCCGTCTTCATCCACCTCACCCACTGGGCTTTGCTCTTCACTTATTCCCAGGCCTTCCCGCCAGTGGAGAGATTTTGTTTTCTCTTTTTCCTTCTATATTCGTAGGCCTCTTAGCTATTAGGAGCTGTCAGATGTGTACTAATAGCTAATGTTCCTAGCCTGAAATTAAAAGTACTGCATCCGCACCATGTACCTGATGGGGATCTGACCTCAAGTGTGTTCTGAGCCCAGGCTTCCTGGCGTGGTGTCTTTTTTAACCACATAAGATTCTGACAAATTGCAAATACTGGTATTGTGATTTGGTTCTCTGTACAAAGAAAGAAGCTCCATGCAGTGAGTTTGTGGTTTGATGGTCACAAAATGTTAGCACTGCTACCATTCAGCACGTGTAAAATTTTTTAAATTTATAAATATTAAAATTTTAAACTTACACTAAGACTTTTCAGTTTTTTTAAAGAAACCCAGGGATGAGTATGCTGTTTAAATATTTACCTCTTTTAACATTACTAATGAAGGTATAAAGTTGCATTTAATTTTTCAAAAGATGCTACAGTATGATTTTAGGAAATAAATCAAGGCTATGTACTGAGCCAGTTACAAGCTGAATATCAGATTGATAAAATTTTATTTGTATTTTTAAAATCCATAAATGGGAGTTAAATGTGTCTTTTCACTAAATATTTTTATTACAGTTTTGTTTTGACCGTGTGTGATTTGTTCATGGGTATTTAGCTAGACTGTTTTATGAAGCTTATTGAAATGGTGCTAGTTCATTTACAATCATAGTATGTGACACTGGGGACATTGCATAATCATAAAATAATTTTGAATAAAAAACATGAGACATATCTGTATAGATAAAATAAAGATTTGCATTACCTTCTGGGAAAACACCCAAACCCTAATAGAGTATTCAGAATTCAGAAAGAAAAATGTTCGTTTATATTCTGTAATATTGAGCATATTTTTTTATCTCACC